ACAAAATAAAATTCGTTTAAAAGTGAAAAGTACTGCGAGAAATGCTTGGGCTGTGATGAAGCTCGAGCAGTACACTATCACAACTGGCCCATATATTAACGGTAAATTTAGCGGTGTTTTATGGTGAATTGAAAACAAAACTAATCAATATCTGATCAAGATGGATTCTAGGAGAGAAGAATCAAGATCGAGAAAAAATCAAACAGAGAAAAATCATCGAGGAAAAAAAAAATCAACAGATCTGACACATGAAGAAAATCTGGAAAACTGAAAAAGTTGAGACCTGGAAAACTATTCTTAATGAGTCGCAAAAATAATAAGACTGCCCGGTCAATTCGTGTGATGAGCTCACAGGTGATGTTGCTGGGTGTTCCTAGATCCGATGACAGTGTACCAGACTTTTCACTCATGCACTGCATACTTCTACTGTGTTACCATTGCCTGTTCGATATGTATATGCCATCTTTTCGAAGGCCACCCGAGCGGTTGTTTACTTTCCAGTGAGTACTACTTAGTGATAAAAACATCTAGCAAGTTATCCAGGCTTCGTGTCCCTCTTGCCGGATTTTACTTTTTTTAAGTGCTTGCGACGATACCCTGCAAGTATTTTGGAAATTTTTTGAAAAATGTAAGCTATGAAAGTTTGTTTGGCACTGTACCCTGCAAGCTGTTCTTCTGACACTAAGTCTAACTGTTCCTGTGAAGAAAAGACATCCGAAGCACCATTCGCTCCATTGCTCTCTCTGTTTATTTCAGAAATGCCCGTTCTTCAATATTCGTCAGTGACTGCGTTTTGCATCCGTATGTCAATAATTGTCTTCAGCACAAGCGATACCGGAGAAAGTGGCCATGGTACTTCTAGTTCAGCACTTTGATGACATCGATGATGCCGTGAAATTTGCTCAACTGGCATTCCTTCTGTATGCAAAAGCTCCGACCGAAGAACGTCATCCATATTTTGTCTTTAGCTGAGACGTAACGGCCGTCTTCGTCCAAATCTGTATTTTTCAGGTATATCGATACTTTGCATAACTTTCCTTTTCGACGCACTGATTTCCATTCCTGTAGCGGTGTTCAGTCTTACAACCAAAAATAGTCAGATATTTTGATCAGCCGTTGTTTTTTTATTACAGCGTTCTTTGTTTTATTGATAAGATGGCAATACTGTGTTGAAGATTCAGTGGTATAGGAGACTAACATTGACAGTTTTAAGCAGTTCGTCCAGACGACAAATCAGGTCTTGATTCAGCACGGCCCGTCCATTTGCTGTTTTCCAGCCGTTCTTTCTCCATAAATTTATCCACGAGGTCATGGTCTGAATGAGCAGCTTGGAGTCCGTACGAACAATGAGACGCTGGTATTGCCGACTTATTGCCTGAAAATCCTCCTTTATAAACTGCACAGCATGTAGCTGTGTTTGTCAAGAACAAGCATGAATAAACGCTGTTTGTGAATCGTTCTGTTCGAAAATTATTTAAAAAGGATATGTTCAGGACAACCCCGTTTAAGTCCTAGTGAGGCGCAAACTTCTTCGGTAGAATAATATACTCTTCCTGGTGAGAGGTGAAAATCCGAAAGAAAACTCTTCAATGTTAAATTAAAGATGTACATCTCATTTGCTCTGCTATTTTAATTTTTGTTTCTACCATAGTAATCACTCAGCTGGCCGTGATAGGCAATCATATGTCTGGCTTTCCATGCTTTTGCAAAACTAGTATGGCCATTATCCTGACTAAACTAGATACGAGAATAGATATTATAATCAAACCACAGTTTAAACTACGAACATTCAGAGTCCACGCCTTTCACAAGATTCGTTGCAAAGTTCCAGGCCTGCATTCCTTCGCAGAAGCCAAAATTTTTCAATTCACGTCGTCTAACGTAACCCGAAATTTCCGGGTCCACTCTGCTCACTGTG